TCAGATGTGCACTCGTTCTATTGTCACGATCTTGGCAAAAGTTTTGTCATTGCGAAATGATAATTAGCTGTGGAGAACGAGTGACTGACTTGAGTTGTGACTTACGTGCCGAGAAGAAGACTTTGACATGGCAACTAAGCAAGCAAAAAAAAGACTACATCGATCTCTGTACTTTGTTCAGCCAGACGTCTTGCATTTAACGAGTCAAACGGGATATAGATGGAGCTCTGAACAGTTAAATTTTTTTGATTCCAACTCTAAAAAAGTTTGAAATATTTTTTTGATTAGCAACCACAATGACTTGAAAAATTGATCATGCAGATTTTATTTCGTTTTCCTTCTGTTAAGTTTTGAGAATACCGTGAAGACTTTATATACCTCGCATTTGCGACTATTTAACTTGGGTTCTCTATGCGAGTCACCGTTATAGAAAAACATCCGAAATCTGAATAATCAATTTTTGAAACCACTTTTAGAGATCTGCGAAATCATGCTTTTTTAACTTCGACTTCTCGGAAGAATTTGTGCGTGGGAGTCCAATTTTAATTTCGTGAGAATTCAATGCAGGATTCTAGAATATCGCAATCTTTAGCTAGTACTACGGAGGATCTAGAGAAAGGAACTCGAGAGAATTATCCCTCAGTGACAACATATTTTTCTCAGCAAAATGCTTCCAAAAATGAGACAATACGACATCTGATGGGTTCCAAAACACATCTGTGATCATGATCGCTTCCCTTTACCATTATTCTAGAATCACGCTGATAAGTTGATAAATAATTAAAATCTAACTGAAAAAAGGAAACCTATGTTTATTTCAATCGGAAACTAGCGCCCTCTCTGTGAAATTATGTTACATCAAAGAAAGAAAGAAAAACATTGCGATATGAAATTGCAGTTTTCATTCGTACTTATTAAGTCAAGCGAAACCAATCAACAATGACCGTTATGATTATGAAGTGTAATAGTCATCGACTGACGACGTGTAAAGTAAATATTTCTTTGCATAGAATTGAAAGTATGCGAAAAAAAGTTATTGTTTTGATGAATTGAAATATTTGACTAAAACTTTCTTACGTAATCGTTTCTAGATGTTAATCATTAAACATTAGTCACATTCATTCTAATACTAACTATAATTTCACTAATATATAGATGGGTAATTTATTAGGTTATTTTGCTGGCTTATTTGGTAATAAAGAACGACGTATACTTATATTGGGTCTTGATGGAGCAGGTAAAACGACAATACTTTATCGTCTTCAAGTCAGTGAAGTTGTAACGACCATTCCAACAATTGGCTTCAATGTTGAAACAGTACAATATAAAAATTTAAAATTTCAAGTTTGGGATCTTGGTAAATAGCAGAAAAAAAAATGTTTTTTTTTGTCTAAAAATATATTTCATTTTATACAGGTGGTCAAACATCAATTCGTCCTTATTGGCGTTGTTATTATTCAAATACAGACGCAATTATATATGTTATTGATTCCATGGATCGTGATCGCATTAGTATATCTAAACATGAACTTGTATCAATGCTTGAAGAAGATGAACTGAAAAATGCTGTTTTATGTGTATTTGCTAATAAACAAGATCTTGAAGGTTGCATGAGTGTGAGTGAAGTAGCAAATGCACTTGGTTTAACATCATTAAAAAATCGTAAATATCAAATATTCAAAACGTCCGCTATTAAAGGCACTGGATTAAATGAAGCAATGGATTGGTTAGCAAATTCATTGCAACAAAAGAAATAAAGCTCATGACATTTTATAAATATAAAACATGCTTGTTTTTTTTAGGCCAATTTATACGTTTTGTTTTCTGTTTTTACTAATATAACGAACTAAAGGTTGTATCTTTTAGTTGTGTCTTACATATATTTCATTTTTTTTTCTTTACTGTTTTTCTGAGTATATACAATGTAAACATACATGTAGTGCATGTTCACTGTCATTGTTTTGTTTTTGTTCAAATTACTAAAAAATAAAACAAAAAAGTAGCCGTTTTTATTCTTTGTAGATGATCATTGTTCTTAGAATATTTCTTCGATCTTTTAGATAATATTAATTAAAACTACTGCTAGCTAATATAATTAAGATTTTTTTTTTGTAATTAATCTCATTTATGAAAGACAATAAATAGAAGACAATATAAAATGTACAACCTGGATTCAAACCCTTGGTTTTATAATTTCGTTTGTTTTATATATTTCGTGCGAATGAATAACATTGAGCATTGTTTTTATTTGTTCATTTATTGTGCAAAAAGAATTCTAATTAGTTCTTGAACACTAATTTCCAGTGTACGTGTATAATGCAATGCATTTGTGTTGTGATCATCACTTCTTTCCTATTAAGATACGAGTGATACATCATAACAATCTGGACTGATGCATTCGTTAAGAAAAGGCAAAGTCAATCAGATTCTTTTCGAATCAATCATGATGTTGTCTTAATATGAGAATTATAACGAATGATTTGATCTTTGGTTAGTATTCATTGAATTGAAAATTTTTTTTATGCATGAAAACCGTGAAAAATTAGAATAAATCTTGATTGAAAATCACATTATTCTATATTGTCGTCTTGCACCATAGATGTTTGGTAAACAGAGTATTAGGATCGTATTTTATCGTGTTGTACACAGTTGGTAACGAATGTCAAACGATCTCAAAATCGAGTATCTGATTGTTTATAATACAGTGAAATCTGCTCGTAATACTGTGCCTAACAAACGACGAAAAAGTCATCGAAAAGGAACGTCCTTCGTTTGATCTAGACTGTAAAAGTTGTTTTCGTTTTCAACGAATCGTTCAAGTTTTTTGTGAGTCAGCAATAGTAAAAGATAATAAAGTAAAAACTGAAGAAAATGAGCTACTCCAACATAGTATAGCATTGTCTAATTCAAGTTTTATGAGACCAAGATACATGAAAGATAACTCTGTCCATAGATCTTAAAATATCTATTTGATGAAAGTCTATTTCTTCTGTCAGAATTCAGAATTAGAGAGTTGCAAACTGAATTTTATGTGTTATGTAACTTTTTATTCTTTACAAAATAGTTAAAAAAATATTCTTAAGTAAATGCTATCTTAGGGCGAAACATGGTTCACGTCTTTCCTTCTCTGACATGGTGAGTTTTAATGATTTTTCAATAGGCAAAGAAAAAACATTTTTGCCGATTTTCATTGTCATTACATCTACTATCGGAGTAAATTTTAAAGTACAATTAAATTATAATCGTAATAAATCAAAACTTATTTGCCATATAGATATATTTGATTTTCGTTTTGATGATAATAATAATGTTCTTATGATTCCTAATGAGCAGGACATGTACTAGTACATGAAAAGAACTTTCATTGGTGAATCGATGCATTCTATTTTCTATTGTTTATTTAAAAATATTACTTAATAGCCTAACATCATAAAAAAATATCGAATGCAGATTCAGAAATTAGCTAATAGTTTATCTTCGAATTCGTTATGAGACATTAATCTGAATATAGATTTTAATGATTTCACTCAAGATCAGTTTGTTTTAAATCATAATCACTAGCAAAACGAATAAAAAATTTCAATGTCACTTCTATTAAATATTTCGTACATACTGGAGAGAATAATGCTATACTACAAAATGTTCACGAAATTATGTTCATTCTTCAATTGATCTTTGTTTCATTTGGCGATATTTAACTTTTCATTTTGCTATCTATACTAAGTTCTTAATTAAACTAATCAAGTTTCTATGCGGAGATCTTCTATGAGATTTTATTTGTTCCATAAATTCTCATTCGGTTATTCAGCATGAATACTAAAATCTAAGCTTGAACAGTACAAGCAAAAAAGCCATCGACACATCCGAACTATTCAATATCTTGAATACTGAAAATTTTAATCAACTCAACCCAATATAATTCATTTAATCGATGGTTTGAATTAATCATGTTTGAAATGAATTGTTCATTTGTTAAAGTCCTTGTTGCTTACTACTTTGCTTAACACAATATATCTTAAATATGTCAGTAAACTTTAAATATTAGCATGAGAAAAACATGAACGAATGGTAATAAATTGTGATATAGCTTTGTGACTCGGCACTATACAGTTGTCTTCTTGTGTTTCAATTGCATTGGAGAAAAGATATCAGCATCGTTTGAAGTGTTATACAATATGTAAAATTCATTTCTTTGGGTCGTAATTTCTATATGAAGTGATTCTATTGACTTCAGTTCACATAATTGATTCATATCTCTGAACATTTTCATCTCTCTGACTGTATACTATAGCATCATCTGCTATGATATATTAATACTGACTTTTGTTTCAATAAAAATCAGCATTTTCATGACAAATCATGTTTAATTTAATAGAAAAATCAATAAAAAACTGCTATAAAACATTAAATCCCTTGGTTCATCATTTTTCTTCTGTGAATAATCGGGACCACGACAGATAATTTAGCGTATATTTTTGTGTGTATATTGAAATATACTTCAAAATTTGTAACAAGTGAACTGAAACAATGAAAGTGTTTTTTATATCATTTTTGAAATGTGATTAGATTGATACAGGTTCTTTAATGTGTAAAACTAAATCGATCATCGATTAGTTTATGATAAAGAAAAAAATATACGACGACAGTATAACTACGAACGAGAGCGCTATTAAAATAGTTAATTTATACTTATGGTTACTATGGAAACGTATTCAATGACTTCTAATCTCAATTGCTAAATTCTGTAATGGGAAAATGAGGAGTTTCAAAAGTTCGGCTAATCACATATCAACTATTTTCTTCAAAAAATATTCATGAGTTTCATAAAAAGAAAACGATATGATTAATTAACAAAGAAATACAAAAGTAGAAAAGTTCATAGTCATTATATATCATTTAGGATATGAATGAAGCAGAAATATAAAAAAAAGTTGATTTTATTTATTTTAAAATATTTGTTAATATATACATAAAAATAGCAAATAATATTATTATAAAGTTTAATATTTCTTTTTTATCGTTGTTTGATCACAACAACCTAATTGACAAGCTTCACAGAGTGCTATTTCATGAGGACCTTCAATCTTGTTCAATTTTTGTTCGTTGTTTACTGTTTTGGGTGGTCGTTGTATACCGTAACAATTCCATCCAATTCTTTCATAAAGTTTTTCCAAAGTTGATTTAATCCAATCGTCGTCAAATTCTGGATCAGCAAAATTACTTTTATTACCAACGCATTTTTTACATTGCTGTCCAAAAAATCGTAAATTAACTGTTCCAAGTGATTCATTAGCATTGGGATAATATAAAATTACTTTAGCTTTAGCTGATGCCCAACCATTGGAACATTTTGAACAATGGAATCTATAAAAACATAATAAAAATGTCGATACAAAGAAAGAGTCAAATGATATACTTTGCGTATCCAGTTCTGTCAAATGGACGCTGATTTTTAAATTTTCGATTGTTATGTTTATAATTTCTATGAACATAAGTTAATGTCCACTTATCAGGATAACCATCAAATACATCATCAAATAAAGTTTGCCAGTCGATAATGGACATTTTTATTATAAGCTTGGCTTATATTTTTTATAAATTAATATAATGAATTGAATTCTATTCATACAGTGTGCACATGTGTGCATATATATACTTGGTTTTTTTTTCCCATTATGGGTTTTTCCCAGTGTGTGATAACAAAAATTACCAGTCGTCAACGTTTTAAAGAAACAGAACAAAAACTACCGAAGTAATAAACTCATTGCCACTGTTTGTGTAGATTTCAAATTTATGATAAAAATTATTATCAGTCAAGTTATTATAAAATGATTATTGCTCGACCCATAAAACATGAAAATCAAAAATCAATATGATAGTATACAAATGAAAAGGGTTGATACAATGAGTTATATTAACATGTATTTCTTTTCTTTCATAAACACTTTTTTGTGATGAAATTAGTTTTTTTTTTTGAAAATGAACGATAAAAAAAAGTATGTTATCAATGATATTCATATCAAAATGTAAGATAATCTAAAAATTCTAAGCAACATATTTTACACTTCAAGGTTACATTTATTTTGTCGCATTTCAACTTACATGTAAGACTCAATATTAATATTTTCAATAAAAATAATCAACTCTTATTTCGTAGACTATTGAATTACATTGTTAATTTAGAGCCATACTTAGCATGTATGGGTACATGCATGCATTCTATATTCTATCTAATCTATCAAATATCTTTGACCTATTCTTGCAATAATCAATGACAGATTTTGATAAAATAATTCTTCGGTTTTTCATCAATATATGTATATATATATAATTATACAATAAAATGAAATTAGGATAATTTATAATAAAGTTTCTTTGTAATAATATGTTGAAGATACTTTTATTACCATCATTATCATTCTTTCTTTTTTTCGTCTTATTCGATCTTGAAAGTAAGGCAAGCATGTTTATATGATAAAGAAAGAAAAAGAAAGAAAGGAAAAAACAGACAACCATGCCGGTAGTGGTCTCTTTTTTATTTCCCTAAAAGTAACAGCAACGTGAATTGCACTGTATTTTTAAAGTATATATACGTTGTCTGCACTCCAATATGTACTTCAAGTGAACTACTCGACATGATAGGAAGCTTAGAAAGTCTGATGACTTTCTAAATTCGTGCTACCTTTAATTTTTAACATTCACTTAGGAATATATGCGTCCGTTTTTATATTGCTCTTTGAAACATGTACCAACACATGATATAGAAAAAATGAGTATGATAAAAACAACAAGTATAATACTATTGTCCTCTTATCATTTTTTTTTTATTCTGAAACCGTTTTGACGATATTCTTTTTCTGATTATCACTTGCACCTTGTCCTTGACGTGTGTTTCTCTCTCATACTATATGTGTGGCTGTATATGCGCGTGAGTTTTATTCTCATAAAAACAAAGCAAAAAAAAATAGAAGTATTCGTCTTGTTAATACATAGTATTTGCTTTTTTTCTAATACTTTGATGACGACGCATTTTGATAAGAGAAAAAAAATGCAACACAAGCAAAAAAGACGTTTATTAGATGATGTGAAACAGGTTTACTATAGTCATTCGTTTTAAAGTTTTTCAGACGACATACACATCCCATCTAAGCCATCAGCATGGAATCAGACAATGCACATGGTGAAATGTTTCTTTTTACATCTGAATCAGTCGGTGAAGGACATCCTGGTAAGTAATTAAATGTGCTTAAAGATTAATTTAAATGAAATGAAATGAAGAAATTGATGTGATTTGTTTACTCTACATACATAAAATCAATTTTAAAATCAATTTTATTTCTATTAAATAGATAAAATCTGTGATCAAGTTAGCGATGCTATACTCGATGCTTGTTTAAGTCAAGATCCAAATTCCAAAGTTGCCTGTGGTAAATTTTCTAATTTATAGATGAACAATCTTTTTTTTATTTGGACTATTTCATTTTTTTTTAGAATCATGTACAAAAACTGGTATGGTCTTAGTATGTGGTGAAATAACAACACGAGCTGGTGTTGATTATCAACAAATAATTCGTGATACAGTTCGTGATATTGGTTGGGATTCATCAGAAAAAGGTTTTGATTATAAAACCATGAATGTTCTTGTTGCCATTGAACAACAATCACCTGACATCGCTCAAGCCGTCCATGAAAAAAGAGCTGATGAAGATATTGGTGCTGGTGATCAAGGTTTAATGTTTGGCTATGCAACTGATGAAACAGAAGAATGTATGCCATTAACTGTCGTCCTTTCTCATCATCTTAATGCTAAAATGGCTGAATTAAGACGCAACGGTCAGTTAGATTATCTTCGACCCGATTCCAAAACTCAAGTAAAAAATAAAGAAACAAGAAAAAGGATAGTATTATCATCAAAAAAAACGTCTTTCTCTTTAGGTTACTGTTGAATATAAATTTAATAAAGGTGCATGTATTCCTCAACGTGTGCATACAATTGTGATATCAACTCAACATAGTCCACACGTAACACAAGAACAATTACGAGATGATCTTCTTAATAAAGTTATTAAACCAGTTGTACCAAAAGAATTACTTGATGATAAAACAGTTTATTATTTAAATCCATCAGGTAAATTTGAAATTGGTGGTCCACAAGGTGATGCTGGTTTAACTGGCCGAAAAATTATTGTCGATACATATGGTGGATGGGGTGCTCATGGTGGGGGTGCTTTCAGTGGAAAAGACCCATCGAAAGTTGATCGCTCAGGAGCCTATGCTGCTCGTTGGGTTGCTAAGTCACTTGTTAAAGCAAAACTTTGTCGTCGTTGTCTAGTTCAAGTATCCTATAGTATAGCTATCGCTGAACCATTATCTATTGCTGTTTTTTCTTATGGTACCTCATCAAAAACAGATAAAGAATTACTTGAAATAGTTAACAAAAATTTTGATCTTCGACCAGGTATTATCATTCGGTAAGTTATTACATATATACATTGAATATTTTTGTTTTTTTTTAATTAATAATTTATTATTCTTTTCATAGGGATCTTAATTTAAAATCTCCAATCTATAAGAAAACAGCATGCTATGGACATTTTGGTCGATCAGAATTTCCATGGGAACAAGCCAAACAACTTAAATTATGATGATTTCAAAGAAAAAAAAAACATTCAATTTTATTCATTGTTTGTTTCTTCTTGTTTTTTTTCTTGTGATAAACCTGTGCTAATCCATCGCTATTGATTAAGGTTTTTGTTTTCATTGTATTAATGAAACACACAATGTTATCTGTGTACTAGTTTATTACGAAGAAAAAAAATTAAGCAATAGATATTTGTTATTTTAATCTAATATTTTCAATTCAATACCATTTATAATTTTATTTAGATAATATAGATTTTTTCGTAAGTCAAGTTAATAATAGTCTCTTGTGATCATGCCGCTAACCATTAAAAATTTTCTCCAATAAAACTCACGGAAAATCATTTTTAATATGTTAAAACTACTTACTAAGAGAAGGAAAAAGCAAATGATCATGTTATATTAAATATAATAACCATGGTCTATTCATGAATTAAATTAAGATATAAATGAAATATATGTTAGATAATATAGATTAGGATTATTATTTTGTTGGCATGGGATTAAGGTAATTATGATTACTTATCAATAGGGCTGCATGAATCGTAGAAATGGAGGGGGGGATGCGGGTGTCATATATTCCGATTAGCAAAAAGCTTTTTTATTTGTCTTCCGCGAAACTAGACATTTTTCTTGTATTCTATGAGAGCAAAAAGTTTTTTTCTTTACAAAAAAACAACAGATGCGATAATACTCCAAGTTTGAAAATCTCGAGTGTACCCTGCTTATTCAGTACTTTCTCTGACCCATTTTTTAAACGTTGGTGTTACATCAGAAGACAAATTTTAATTGAATAAGACATTTTATATGTTATCATTAAATGTGTGAAAAGAAACACAAAAATAGTAACCTATGTATGATCATCATAGAGTATAAAAGTTTCCTGTAATATGACTAGTAATATATTTCACATGTGTATTGCTCTTTACTTAATGTAGAACTAAAATGATGCTTATCTAATAATTTTTTGATAAAAAAAAAAACAAAACAATTATTATCATTCATGTCGATGTTTTGAGCTATTTTTAGATTAACATTAGCTACAACAATAAATAATCGTCGTCTAAATGATATCGATTAAGTTTAGTGTTTGATAGATAAAGCAAATGCTATACATTACATATTTAAAAAACAGCTCATAAAATATTTTTTTATCCATACATAAATTCTAGAAGTTTTTCATATTTATTTAGAAATACAACTAAACACTAAATTCTTCAACAAACTCTTTATTTATATTGATATCTAATGAATATATTCGATAAAATACATCTATCAATCTTGTTGTTATTGGTTTAGTGTTGAAATAATACTTGTGAATAATATATTTTTCTTTAGACATGCTATTGATAAAAAACATTGACAAACAGCATTATACAATGATTTTTATGACGAATATAAATAATGCAAATATATGCCATCAAGTTAAAACAGATGGTAAATCAGACTAAATGAAACGTACTATAATTTTAACTAATCGATCTATTTTGAATTTATCAATTGAAGTTATAAAAGAATAAGACTAATCATATTTCTCATTCAAAACTATCATAAGAAAAATATCGTTTCATTTACAATATTAATTTTCAATATTCGAGGTCCCTGTAAGTCGCTCTTACCTTTTATTCTTCTTTTCAGTTCGATGATAAGAACCAACAAATTATAAGCATATATGATGTTATATAAATGAATTAAAAAAGAAAAAAAGATGCTTCTGCGTCATCACGGTTGGAAACAGGTAGTTAAAACAAAAACGAAACGTTCAACAGTTATTTCTATTCTTCGATGGACACTTCTTCGTCGTGTAACTCAATCACTTGATCAAATAAATGATGAAGATACAAAAAAGAATATTCTTTGGGAAGAAATGTATTGGTTAAATCAATATTGGACTCAATCTGTACCAAAATCAAGTATAGCTCCTAAATATTGGCAAAGACTTTTTATTACTAAATCACTTAATACTAGACGTGATCTTTATGAGTAATTTAAATAAATAAAATAATTCTTTTCTTTTTTTTTTATTTATTTATTGATTTTAAGATATTTATCTGATGAAGCAACACGAAGAGAACGTTTTCGATGTCGAATGGATAAAAGAAAAGAAATAATTGCTGCTATATCAGATTCTAATCGTTGGGAATCTCCTTTTCATCGAACAATATTTGCTACATTAGACATGAAATATAATCCACAACGTTGACTTAATCTTTATGCATTAGCACGAGCAGGATGATTAGGAGATTTTTTTTGTTATTTAAGGTGGTTTTGAATTTGCTCATGTTCGTCAATCATATTTTTCATCACTTTTTCAAAAAGTTTTTCGTTGTTTTAAACATATTGATCGTTTCCATTCACCAGCTTATATTATAATAAGTGATCTTTCACATAATTTTTAAACATGTAATCATCGACTACCACATGAACATTCAACTTATTTTCATTCAACAAGAGATTTATATATTGATTTATTTGATAAAGATCGTTTAATTTATTTAACATCTCATTCACCTAATGAAATGACTCATTTTGATCATATGATGCTGTTTATATTCTTGGAAGAATATATGATGATGAAAGTAAAGAACTTTTAATATATCAAAAAGCTGTTAGACAAAATATTCGTCATCAAAAATTACCATTAGAAAAATATTTTACGTAACTATCATTTTATCAAAATATTAAAAACCTTTTGTCATCTTAAATTTTTATTTTTTTAGATTTCATTCAACATCAAGTCGTGCATTAGCTTTTCATGAAATTTATAATATTTTATTAACATTAAAACATACAAATAATAATTGGATAAAAGCATTTTATTATGTTTCAAAAAGAAAAATTGCTACTCGAATCGAAGAAGAAGAACTTGATGATGATGATGAAAAACTTGAATCAGTGACTTCTTGTTAAAATAGTAACTTTGATAAATCTAGCCATATCTGTTTTTTCAACAAAAAAGAAAAAATTGTTATTAAACAACTTTTATGCTCAGTTGACTTTGATATACAAACGTATTCATAGCAGATTAAAATCGAGACTTCTCATTATATAAGATTGTAAAAGTTGCCAATACTTTAGAAACTTTTTGAAACTACAAATTACACATATGGCTCAAATTTCCTAAAAAATTTGTAGTCTTTCTAGAAACTTTTGGAGCTCTATAGAGTCTTCTAGAAAAGCAACCTAGGAATGGAAGCATGAATGTCCCAGAAATTTTTGGAAAAATTGTGCAAATATTTCAAAAATATATTCTTAAAATTAACGCAGTAAATAGAAAATGTTTAAAAAAAAAGAGTAGAAAATACATAAACATAAAATAAATAAATTTAAATACATGACATTTTGTGAAATATTCTTAATAAATTACAGAATTAGAAAAAAAACTCTGAAACCTCCGATTTCTCTATAAATAGACCTACATTTGTTCAGAATTTGTTAGTAAAAATTTTGAAATGAATAGATAAAAGTGAACTGTACAAACCCTTGAAAAGAGGTAAACGTGATATTATAAAATTAATCAGTGATATTGATATAAGCATAGTTACAATAAAAACCAGTAAAATTCAAATATTCGTAGTAGATTATTATTATTCATTTATTATTAATTAATCATCTAGGAATGCATCAGTTCCACTTCTTGACTCGAAATTAGTGGAGATGGGAATAAGTGCTTCGTCATTAAATCTTTTTTTTAAGAAGTTTAATTATAATTTTGAAAAAATGAACTAATATTTTATCAAAAGATTAAAATATGTTGTTTTAAGATTGAACAGTAAAAAAAAAAAGGATCAAAATATTCTGTTTCTTCAAAAGATTCTGTAGAATTTCTTATGAAAATTGTGTGGCATAAGTTCTCATAACAAAAACACTTCATTTACATGCCACATAACTTTCATAGGACTTGTTTAAATTTAAAAATTTGTTTTTTTATCAATTTTTTATTTTTTATTGTTATCGTTAATTTTTTAAAAATATGATCATGAAAATAATCCCAATTTCGTGGTACATATTGAATTTCTCTTCGATCAACATATTGATAGTGAGAAATATTTTTATGATAGATAATTTGCAAAATACAGGTGGTGCTCCAACGCAGCTAACATTAGGACGAAGAGAATATTGCTAATTTTTTTGCAACGGGAGAAAGTATCTTTCTTCTAACAGAATGCAATAAAGAAAATTCCAGCTCTACTGCGTAAAAATAAAAACTTTCTACAATTGTGGAAGCGTTACACCCTCGACAACTCTTCTACCACTATCCGTCGGGTTACTACTCGAAATTACTTTCTCTTATTTTTTGTATCAATTTTATGCCTATGATCAAACTATTTGAAATATTTCAATTGCAATGTATCTGCTAATTTAAAATCATCTCACATAAACTCTATTGATTACAAACAGATTCATTTTTTGGATAGTTTTGTTCTCGTTAGAAAAGATCTAACTAATTCATGCGATTGTTTTTATTTAAAAAAAAAAGTTTATATCCGAGAGGGTGTGGCTGTGGCTGTGGTTGCGACTGTGGGTGTCTTATCTTCATGTACACCGACACTCACATCCATTCCATCACACCCACACCCACAATCTACAACTTACAAGAGAATGAAACATTATTTTATATTTACCAGTAAGTTTTTGTTTTGTTGCTTATAATAAAAAAAATAACTGGTTTTATTATCATTTTAGTCAAGCGTCGATTCAAAGCAAGATAGACAAGGCTCTTAAAGGATTGAGTGAGGTGAAACTTAAATGTAGTAAAAGATTCTTTAATTTATTAATTTTCTTTTTAATATTTGTATAGATGGTTACAACTGTAATGGAGGTATACTATATCTTCAACAGTATAGTTTGAACATACTTTCGAATAAGTATGTATTGAATAGGTCTGATGACGAAGGATATTATTAGAAAAAAAAAGATATTGGAATCACATTGTCTTCACGTTTTACTTATACATAATCTCAAATTGCTTGAGGAAGTTCATTATGAATTTCAATTATAATAACACTACTTCTCTTCCTATGTAAGCTAATATCATCAAATTAAAAATATAAATACATAATCAATATGTTAATGTAAGTAAAAGAATTAGTAATTAGAATAAAATAAATAACAAAGTCGATATTAGTTGAAAATAGATTAATAAGAAGTATTATATTATATGAAATTAAATGTTGATATTTCGGTCAAAATTGATCTTGAGAATGTTGTTGTTATATGTACGGAGTTGGCATTGTTTCATCTATACGTATCTTATTTTTTTTTCTTTATTTGACTTCGATGAATATTGCTATAGACGAGGAATCACAAACGTCGTCTGGTATCAGTATTATCGTCTTGTGGTTTCTGTATCAGTATCATCGTAGTCAATCAAAGGAAAAAAAAGGAACATATGGATGAAAGAATACCATCTATGTACATTCAAGAAGAACATTACCTGAAGAAGGTCAATTTTAACTGAAACGACAATATTGAATTGAATATAAGATAATATTGTGTTACTTATTTATTTCGCACTAATTATTAAATTTATTTACCTTTCACTATAATTTATTTTAATTGTTTTAACATGTTGATAACATATATATTGTTCTTTTTTATTTAACCAAATATATTGAGTTATAGACGAAGAGAAATATTTTTGCTAATATTGAAAAGAACATATAATCTGTTCTTTTTAGAAATGGTTGCGATCGCGCACAAAGTCAATCTACAGGTCGACGATGCAAATAGTGGTTTGAAAGATTTTTTTGTGAAATTTATTTATTTATTTTTGTCAATGTTGTATTCTTCATTTGTATGTCAATAAAAGTGATGAATCAATTTATATTCTCTATGTCACCACTAAAATATGCAGTTGATTCCATTGAAACGTTTACAAATGATACCGCAACAGTTTACAAAAGTGGTTTTGAAGAATGATTGCATATCTTTATAATAGCCTTCGTTCGATATACCGAAGGCAATGAAATTGATTATTTTAAGAAAGATTTAGTAACAAATGTCTAACTCTCATTCGATCTAGTCATTAACTTGATGAAACAACTACATACATTTGCCTTAGTTTCATAAAGTGTTGATTCTATCCAATAGGAGAATTTTAATGTCAAAAAAAAAAACGTAAAATTTGAATTAAAGAGCTTCAAATTGTTTATCGAAATCGTTCGCATTGTTAAGTCTAATTATGTAGATATTGGGAAATTTGATCTATGAAAGGCAATATTTCATTAGTAATACACCTCTTACACTTGCATAAAATCTTCCTTGTCGAAATCTTATGAAATTCACTAACACTTTAATTGTTATTGGAAGCTCAAGTTCAGATTTCAGATTCCGTAGTTTTTTCTTACAACCACACTTCTTTTAAGAATAGTCCTTCTTGAGAAGAAACTTTAGATTCCAATTTTTTCTCGTTTAGAGCAACTGGTTTTGAGAAAAACGTTCAAAGGTTCAAATATTTTTTATAAATAGAAGAAAAAAGAAAACTTTTAAAATTGAATTTAAATTGATCTATTTTCTTTGAATATTGAAACTATTATTTGATATCTCCGTTAATTTTATTTTTATTTATTTAAAAAAAAGAATCAAATCTGAAAATGAAGGATGAATTCAAAATAAATCATATTGATTTAACATACAGTATACATTTTGTTTCTGTTCTTATTGTTCTGATTTATTTTAAGAAATGAGCTTTAGTGAACACAGATTCGAGATACATTTTAATATTTTCGTTAAAATAAATTATTATTATGACATCAAAATATTTTGTCTTTTTCTCATTTTCTCCCCTATAGAGGCATGTGGATGTAGTTTGAAGAGATTTCAGATTAATGGAATATTTTTCGAGATAATATCATATAGTGTCGAATATTGATTGAACATTTTCATAGAAGATAAAAAATTAGCTATTATATGAAAAAGAAATTCTAACTTTGTAAATGTTAACATAGAATATATTGTTTGTTATTAATTCACAGCATGTATCTACAAATAATATTCACAAGGGAAATAGTTTAATTCTATAAAAGTTTGTATTAATTAGATGTGGATAGTGTTGTTGCTGGAAGACTATGTATTTCTGAAATATCGATGTATAAGCAATTGATTGTTCTTCAATGTTGATTTCTTTGAGTTTAGAATGTGTTGCTTAAAATTTTTTGTTACTAACTAGATGTGACATCTCTTTTTCGTAAAATTATTTCTCAATTATCATCCAATAAATAAAAAGTATGAGAATATATGAGTATACACAATGTCCATCCTTAGTATTTTGGTTATTGATAATCATTTTACTCACATACCTATATATAAAATTAGCATAGGAAACGATGGTTTTCAAACGAGCTATATATATTGTTGCAGCTCGTCGTACTCCATTTGGTACTTTTGGTGGTAAATTAAAAGATTATACAGCTACACAATTACAAGAACTTGCTAATCGAGCTGTTTTTAAACAAGCAAAATTATCACCCGATGCTATTGATAGTACTATTATTGGTAATGTTTCTCAAACATCAACATATGCAATTTTTTTAGCTCGTCATGCCGCCTTACTTGCAGGTGTACCAATTCATGTTCCAGCATTAACTGTTAATCGTCTTTGTGGATCTGGTTTTCAATCGATTATAAATAGTGGACAAGAAATTGAATTAGGTGATTCAAATATTGTTTTATGTGGTGGAACTGAAAGTATGTCACAAGCACCATATACAGTAAGAAATATTCGATTTGGAACAAAATTAGGTATGGATTTAAAATTAGAAGATACATTATGGGCATCTTTAACAGATGATTATGTAAAAACACCAATGGCTATTACAGGTAATTTAAATATGATGAGTTATTTTTTTTTTCTTCTTCTGAAAATTTTTATTCTAGCGGAAAATTTGGCAAAAAAATATAATATAACTCGTCAAGAAGCTGATGAATATGCTTTACAATCTCAAAAACGTTGGCAACAAGCAAATGATCAGAGTTATCTTAAAGATGAAATTGAACCAATAAAAATCAAAGGTAAAAAAAATCAAGATGAAATATTTGATACAGATGAACATCCACGTCCACAATCAACTATGGAACAACTTTCAAAATTACCGTCCATATTTATAAAAGATACGGGTATTGTAACAGCTGGTAATGCAAGTGGCATATGTGATGGAGCTGCTGCAATTATTATTTCAAATGATGATGGATTAAAAAAATATAATCTTCAACCATTAGCTCGTTTAGTAGCTTATCATGTAAGTGGTGTTGAACCAACTTTAATGGGTATTGGACCTGTACCAGCTATTGAAAATTTATTAAAAAAAGTAAATAAAAAAATATCTGATATTGATTTATATGATATTAATGAAGCATTTGCACCACAATATCTTGCTTGTCAAAAAGTATTAAAATTACCAAATGAAATAAGTAATGTAAATGGTGGTGCTATTGCTCTTGGTCATCCATTAGGAGCATCAGGTACAAGAATAACAGCAAATCTTGTCTATGAATTAAGACGACGTCAAGGAAAATATGCTATTGGTGCTGCATGTATTGGTGGTGGTCAAGGCATTGCTTTATTAATGGAACGAGTTTAAATTGATAGTTTTTTGTTTTTTTTTTTGTGTAATAAAATTAGATAATGTTTTTATTTTTTTTAAATAATACTAAATTAACAGAAGTGTAACTTTTGATTTTTAAAATTAAAATATAATATTTTGGTGATTCTTTTCCTAATGTAGTCTAGCACTTGGTTGATATGAAAATCTATACAAACTATTAAGCATGTTCAAATAAGACAACTATTGCTATGATATTAATGTTCAAGTGAAGTAAAAATATTAAATTTTTAAAAGTATATCTAATGAGAATCAAACAATATACAACGAACGTTACGAGTAAATATCAAAGAAAATCAAGTATTTTAGTACATTGACAATAGAGTAATATTTTAGAAATTGTCTGATGTTTTAATCATTGATTTATCTTTCGAAAGGAAGAAGGTTTAACTTTATAATCTCTTAAACATAATTATTAGTCATTTCTATTACTATATCCGAAATTTCCCAAAATGTTCTTTAATTACATATAAAATATATTGATATCCTGAATAGAGTCATACTGTATCCTTTTTTTTGACATTTTCTTAGCAAAATGTCAGTAGAGCGTGGTTAATGCAAAAACAACATAATACTTTGATATTTTCATCAATAATAGAGCTCATAAAGTTCTATTACTTGATGCATTTAGCGATTTTATTCATGCAAAACTCACTTACTTTCAATCAAAATTTTCGTCGTTTTCCTGTCATTCATAAGATAGTGTATTATTGATAGATTACACTTTCTCGACTGGTTAGTACTTGCTTTTTCTAGTTGTCTTTTTGTTTTGTTATCAGTAGTATGATAATACATAATTACTAAACTACCCCTTCAACATTTTTAGTATTAACACAAGAGATGATATTTATAGAAAAGGGGCCACGTTCTATACAAAATAATATATTAAAAACGGAAAATATTTCCAGATTTTGATTGTGAAAAGTTGACTTTCATGAAAAAGAAACTTAGCTTGACATATGCAATCAACATACAAAACTATATCATTAGAAAGTATTTCCTATAAAAAATTTTTACTATAATTCTCCTCAACTATTTGCCTCGAACGTTGTACGCTGTGCTCCCATACACGTAAAATATCGGTCAGATGTATTTTACGCTAAAAATATTTTTTCCTGATATAATTTTACATGTGTCTTGTAAATATAAATTTGATTTTTTTATGAAAATTAACATTTCACCATCAAAATCTAGAACTATTTCCTATAGTATGTTATTTTTGTATGGAACTTGCTCTTCTCTATACATATCAACTGTTTTGATAACAATAAAAGTGTCGAAGATCTGTCTTACTAAATTTATATATTATCATATCGCTAACAACAAAAACAATAGTTAAAAAAACAAAGTATTAAAGAGTGGAGAAAGTAGAAACCCTGAATAACATGTCAGCATATTCAAACATATCTTTTTAATTATAGAAAAAGAAAAAGCAATTTTTTGATTGTAAGTAAACGATTTTTTTTTTCTGCATGTATTAAAATTGTTAAATACATTGGACAATAGAACTTAATGACCTCTATCACTAGTAAGAACATTAAGACATTCTGTTGTTGCTGGAAAGCATATGTTTGATAGATATTTTGCTAACAAAATATCAGATAGGTTAACCTAGAATTTTGTTTAGGAGGTCACTAATAATGATGATAAAAAAATCAAACGATAATTATCAAAAAAAAAAAAAGAATGTCATTCATATTTTGAAAAATAGCTCGAGAAAAAGTAATCGATTCAAGTGAAAAATTTCAGACATTAATAACTTCATCATCATCTACAACATATAAAAAAAAATCAGAAAATTCTAAAATATCAATCCATCGTGTATTCCAGAATCGATCACATATTTTCTCTTAAGAGAGATAAGAAATACTTATAGAATATCTGCAATTTATTTGAAATATCAGTTTTCAATTCATCAGAGACAAATAACATATTGACTGAATATATAGGCATAACTTCTCTAGTTGTTGTTACTCATAAGCAATGTTTACAACAGTAAGGAAAGAAAAACAATACGCTTTTTGTTTTAACTGCTAAAAAAAAGCCACTTAAACTTTTTGCGTTTCGAATCTCCAACAAAATATTTATATACAGAATTCCAGGTATCGATTTTATAGCAAAAGTTATGTGACATATAAAAGCGGATTTTTTTTTTCTTTTGTGAAGGTTATAAGTATCGATTATATTTATACATTGAGCTCAACTATTTGAATAATAGACATGAAAAACTATATTGTTAACTAATTTAAAATCAACATGTATCCAATATTTACTCAAGTTTCATTGTCAAATATCACGATATTATTATAAAATGAATGAAATATAAATGATCAATATAAGCGAATTTATAGTAAGTATATATAATTATATATTAATTTATTGCATACTGGAAAAAATGTGTCTTTTATTAAAAAAAGAAAATGTTTACAATAGAAAGGGTATGATAATATATTTTTTTTCCTATGCGTTTTTAATAGATGAAGGCCTGTCGAAGGAAAGGCAATGTTAATAGCGGTCTAGTTTTTTTTTTCGTTCTTTTTCTTTTGGTGGTTTTTTAATGGTTGTTATGCCATTACACACACAAACACACGAACATATTTTCTTTTAACGCACATTAGTCAAAGGACGTTGTGAGAGAAGACAAAACAATTTTTGTGTCGCATTCCTAAGACATTTGTTGTTGTTGTTATTATTACAGTTCAATTTTTATAAAGATGCACATATGCATAACTAATAACAATTTATTATAATGATTCATAGAGAAATAATATACTTTCTATCAATGACATAGAGTTATTTTTTATTTATTTTTTTTGATGTAAAAATAAACTGACATAACATACACGAAAAAAAAAAATAGTATTGATTCATTTTGATAGTAAATTTATTTGAACATATACTGTTTTTTTCCTTCTATTTTATTTAGGAATAACAAACTAAATTAAAATTCTAATGTCATCTTCAACATCAGATTCATTTTCAAATGTTTCATTATTTGATAAAGCAACCGGTTGTATATCTTATATTCAAGAAAAAAAATATTTTACAAAAAAGCGTTTTCATATTATACGTCAATATTTTTTTCGATTCGTTGGAATATGTGTTATATTATATTTTAGTTTTCAATTACTTCTTTTATTTAATTTAATTCTTCAATTAATATTTCGTTTATTATTTCAAATATTATCAATTTTTATATTTGTTCTATTTAAATTTATTCAATTATTTTTACCTAAAACAACTAGTTATAATATATTATATATATTAATTGGATTTTGTTCAATTTTATCATTTTTTATTGCTAAATTTTCATATAAAAATATTGAAATACGTCTTGGAAAACGTTACGAATTAATAAAACGTTATTCATTTATTTTTACATTTATTGCTATTCTTCTTTTACAATCTGTATTAATTCTTTTACCTACTACTGTATCGATACAAGAACAACGGAAATTATCCTCGGTAAGCAAAGAAAAAAAATCAATTCTATAGTTACCAATTTTTTTTGTTATTTAGACTCCAGTTCTTTTCAAGCAATCAGTAACAAAACTACCTGAACCAAAAGTTGTTGGAGCTACAGCACAAGAAAATATTAACAGAGGATTGAATGTCAGGAAACGAGAAGAACAAATATCAATTAGTAGTGGAATAAAGACAAATGAGAATGGCAAAATTCCCGATGGAAAACTAATAATTAATCTCGACAACAAGGTTTGTAAATACATATGTCATACTGTCCTAACTAGATGGAGCTAGTGAAGGGTAAAGTCCATGAAGAAGGCTTTGATTTGCCCCTAGAATTGATTGAAATCTGATTAAAAAGACGCTTGACCTCAATTGAGAAGTATTTTGAAAAGATTGTCCATCTCCATACAACTGTTATTCGATTAAATCATTAATATTTCATTAAGAAAACATTTCAATATGTTATTTATAGTTGTCTTCTTCGTCTGGAAATGATTCAGAAATTGAATCTAGTGTTGAAGATGATCATTCATATCATACAAAGCAAGACATAAACATAGACGAAAAATCAACTGTTTATTTACGACATGAGGTAAATGTCTAAAAAATTTAACATTTAATTCATATTACAAAAAAATAAAAAATAAATAGATTTCTCCCGGTGAAGGAAGAAGATCATTATTAGAACAAGAATTAAACTATTTTGTCGATCCTGCTGAAGAAATTAGTTCAAAAATCTTCAAAAAATCATCTGAATTTATTCAAGAAAAATCTAAACAAGTATTTCAATTTCATCAAAATTTTACAAAACAATTTTTTTTTTGTCTTTTTTCTTTTCTTAAAGACTAAAGAATTTCTACATGACATATTAACAGAAGAAAAAATAGAATCATTTATTAAATCCAAATTAGAAAAACATAATAGATTAATATTACATCAAAAATTAAGTAATTGGCTTGATGAAGCTTGGAATATTTGGCATCAAATAAAACATGATTTTCAAAAACTTTTTTCTTTAACAACTAAACATACACAATATTTACCTCGATATAATGTTAGTTCAATATATACAGCTTATACTGATCTTCATTGTTATGATTATAGAAAAATAACTTATCATTATTTTTCATCTAAACAAAAATATATCTACTTTCTTGATACTTATCGTCATCATTCACCATTTCCTATTTATTTATCCATATTAAAATCCAATGGACCTAAATGTTATCGTCATTATCCAAATTCATCATGTGCAATTGATTCAAAATTATTTTTTTCAAATTTCAAAGAAGAATTATATCGTTTTACATTATTTTCGATAATTGTTAGTATACCAATTATTATTTTATTAATTATTTTGAAAAATTTTCAATATGGTCAATATCATAAAAAAAATAAACAATTATCAAATGAAAATCAACAAATTATATCAAATACAATAAATGATTCATTATTAGAACAAACATTTTCAAATACAAATAATAATAATTATCATTTGTTAGATGAAAAAATTGCAAAAGAATTATATTTATGGCTTGAATATGAACAAAATAATGGATATCAATATATTAGTGAAGCATGTCGAATGTCATTAAATAATATATTTTCTAAAAATAATGTAAGTAATTCTTGTCATTTATTTAAGGAAATATAGGCCTTGATGTTGTCATTATTTTGTAAATTAATATACGGATGATTTACTTGCATATCGACTAAATATGTGCTCTATCATATATATATATGTAAAGAAGAAAAGATGTTTCTTTTTGTGTGTTTTTTTCTATCAACGACATCCGGTTATTTTCTTTCAAAAATGATCTTTTATGTTTGTATCTAATAAAGCGAGCAACATTTTTGTTTTTCTTCCAACAACATCATCAACTCATAGGATAAATACAGATTTTTTTTTTTTCTCGTTATTCTCTCTTCCGTTGCTTTTCTTTATCTGTAATGATAAATCCGCACGAGCGAGACTGTAAAAATGAGAAAAAATGTCGAGCGACAAAAAAAAACCAATGATGATTTATTGAGTTTCTTTTTTTTTCCGATTCCTTATGTGCATGGAATATGTAGCAATATAAAAATATTCTCTTGATATTGAGAATGACTTCGATTCATCGATCCCTAATCGATAAATTTATTGAATATCAACGTGATAATCTTCATCAATTTTTTCATCATCTAAATATTTATTATAATAATCTTCATTTACACCCACATGAAAGTTCCGATGGATATTTCTTATATTTCACAATATTTATTTCTATCATAACAATAATAATAATTTTATCAGTAATATTCGACTCAAATGTTCTTTTTAATATTTATTTCTCTATTTATACTTTTAATAAATATTTATTTTTAAAAATACAAGAAAAAATTTTTCAATCAAAAAAATCATTATTGATTTTAAATTGGTTATTAAATTCCCCTAATCATATTCAAAAATGTTTTTTTAATGAATTTTTACATTCATTAAATCAAAAATTTATTTATAAAAAGGTAATCAAATATTTCTATTATATTATCGCATATAATCTTTGTTGTTGTTTTTTTTTTTTATGTATATATTATTATTTTTTTTTTCAAGGAACAATTGAACATAGAAACATTACAATTTGCTAATGCAGCAATTCATGATGTTTCTCAAGCATCAGTTGAAACGATTGTAAATATTTATTTGTTTATTTATTATTCTATATAAATTCTTTCTAAAAAGGTTATCCATGCAGTACTTGATATAGTTCATTTAATTTTTAATATTGTTAATACAGCAAAATATCAACATTATTCAATTGAAATACCAAAATTAACTGGTGAACTTGAAATTTTCTTGACTAGTTATACTGATAAATATTCAATTGAAGTAAAATTTAAACAAATTCAAATTGATCATGCTGAAATTATTGATACGAAAAATGTAAAAACTTAGAATATGTTTCTTTGTCTTTTTTTTTATTTCCTAAATCATTTTTATTTATTCAGATTTTATCTTCTGAAGAAAAAGAGTCATTTATTAAATTATTTAAAGAAACAATTCGACAAACTGTTGTTCAACTTTGTTGTAATCTAGCACCAAATAATCAAGAAAATGTTGTTAATGAATCGAAGATTGTAAGCTCAAAGGTATATATTATGCTATTAGTAGATAAATTTTTTTGCTTATATTAAATATCACAAAGAGAATAAAAGAGCCACTTGCGCCGATTGAAAAAAAAGAAAATATTTAGTTTTATGAGTATGTTATTCTTTGACAAGATTGACATATTTGAATGATTATTCATGCTTGAAAAAACATCATCATCAAAGTATTTAAAAGCTTATCTTAAGAATTCATCCTTTGTATAATGATTATTTCTATTGACATATAATATTTCATGCATTATATGAATTCATTGATGTAAAAAAGAAAACCCAATGCGACTTTTGTGCAATGGTATAGAAGTATTGCCCCCTGATATCATTGGAGTGACTTTGACAAACGATGATTGTTCTATGAAATGAAAGAAAAAGCTAAAAATATATTCCCGAGGGAACCATTTAAACTGATAACTGTCGTTTTAGCTCATGTTGTGCGCATAACAAGGTTTTTATAAGACTAGAAAAAGTCTAAACGAGCTCGGCCCTATGGACCCTTGAAGCAAAGTTACGATCTTTGTACAGAATTTTCAATTCATTTTTTGGTATATACTGGAAAATCTTTAAAAAAACAAAATGTCAATATAAAATGTTCATTTTGAAAATTGAATACCTAGACAAAAGAATACTACGTTCGGCTGACATTTTTAAAATACTCTATAGATCATCAGACGTAGCTTTGAGCAAAAATTTCACATCAAAATTCTGTTGTTAACAATTTATCAGTATTACATACAAAAAATTGTGTCCAAAACTAAGTAAAACAATCCTAATTCTATTCTAAAAGTTTATAGAACGTATCTTCTTAGATATTTGCTGGCTTCATGAAGACATCCTGGGGTATTCATGATGAGATCAAACGGCGAATATGAGCTCAGATTGTTTTCTCATTAGTATTTCATTCTATCGAAGAATTCTCACTGAAAAAATAAACATAGATTTGCTATTAATTTATGCATTTGACTGGCAGTAACAAATAAGGAAAAGATATTGATCTTTACTGACATAAACATAAAAAAACGAATTGATTTTTTTGTTATTCTATTAAAAAGACTCAATGAAGCAATATACATCATTCTAGGAACCATCTATTCAACAAATTGTACCGGAACTTTCTAATGTCCGTCAGCCATGTGCAACTCCACTTCTACCAACAATTATTGAAGATAATCAATCAATATCGTGTGAAAAACAAGTAAAAAAATTACTTGTTCGTATTATTAATGCTGTTAAATTACACGGTAAACTCTTAATAATATATATCTAATTTGAAAAATAATAAATTAGGTGTTGAACAACCATTTTGTATTATTGAATTAAATCAACCTAGACAAACACATCAAACAAGTATTGCAAAAAATGGTCTTAATCCGTATGTTTATCATTGGACAATATTCATAAAAATTATTGCATTGTTTCTTTAAGCTATTGGAATGAATCTTTTCTATTCGATAGTAATGATAAAAGTAATCAAATACATTTAAAAATTATGGATCGTAAAAAACCAAATAAAAAACACAATACTTCTATCAGTGAGTCAATTCATTCATTCTTTCTTTATTTGACATATTTCTTTTTGTTCTGCACTAGTTGACAAAATTTATGCTGACGTGTCTATCCCATTTTCTTATATAACAAGTGAGGTTTATAAACACGATATACGAATAACACCTCAGTATCCTGATTCAACCATTCATATCGAGGTAAAAATTTGATATTTTTTTTACTCACTTATATGTAATAGACCCTGCTAATCATACTAAAAAGGTTTCATATACATATATATATATATATATCGATATTTACCTTTCTTTTTCTGTCTTCTGTAGATACAAGAATCAGATATTTTTTCTTCGTCGTTTTTTAACACCTACGACTTTTTATGCTGTTCTCTTTTTTTTTCCTCGTCTTCATTCTTGTTTTTTTCTTTTTGTTGAGTAAGTGAAGTAATGTATCTAATGATTTATTATTTACTTAAGAATATAAGTGAATAAAAACAAAATATCATTAATCCAAATGGTACGTAGTCGAAGTGAAACAAATTTAAATCGAATATTTATCGATTTATGTACAAGTCCAGCTGTACGTAATAAATTTGGTGATCAACGTAATAATCAACGACAATGTCCATCACCTTTGCCAAGTTTGAAACCGATTAAATCCAATTCTTGTTCAAATATAGATGAGTTGTCCCAACAGATTTCATCATCATTACCTATTGAGAATAATCAAAAGGAACAAAAAAATACAGTAGATCAAGCAACTGTTCAACAAGTACCCGTTTTAGGAAATCAATCTGTTGAATCTTCAGGAGCAGCTACTCCGTCATTGGCACCTATGGAATCAACAGGTTTTTCTGTTCAAACAACTTCATTTCCAAATCATCATTCATTAACATTATTTGAAACATTATCTATCAGTCATCTTAGACATCCTTCATTACACAGAGAAACTTCTAAAGAAACGAAAACTAAAATTTCACCAGTGCCGTCGAATTCCTCAACTGCATCACGAGATTTAAAACATCAAGATTTTCTAAATCGTTTACAAGATCGTCTTAAATCAAGAAAACATTTGCGCAAATTTTTTCTTTCTTAATCCAATTTTATAAATATATATATATAAATTTTTTTTTTTCTAAATAATTTTTTTTCTATGCACATAGTTTTAAGAACAGTCATGTTTTTAATTATATAAAAAAGATTCAACATTTTATGTTTATAGTTTTCAATTGTATCTGAAGAAAAAGTTCCAGCTGGTAAGTTGATTAAATCATCGCTCTGCTTATTTTCTATCACGCTTTGATTATTTCACTACTTCACATGATATATTTTTTTCACGATATAATATAATTAGCTAACGATGAATATGATGTTGAAAGTATTAGTAACAGTCTAGATTGGTCAAACATCAGACGAGGTATACTCATTATTTTTGTTTTTTTGTAATGATATTTTCTTCACATTAAAATTAAATCTATAATATAAATTAATAATTTTTCATTTAAATAGACGCAAATAATATTCAACATGGATATCAACGATCACCATCTGATGAAATAATAGCACTAACATACAATGGAAATACATCACTCGAAAATAATACTTATACGAATAATGTAAGTAAAAAACTAGATTAAATTTTTCTAATATTATTTAAAAAATTTCATATAATAAGAAAATTTTATTGACATATTTTTGGAAACTCATAATGGAAAGAAAATGTTAACAGTGATGAATGACGAAAGAAAATTTTTCTTTACGTTGGACACATAATCATTTATAAATCATGGCATATCGTTTTTTAATCGTTTGGTAGTGGTGTTTTTGTTTTCGAGAAAGAAAACCTAAAACAAGACGTATATACTATGAAAAACAGCGAATTTCGTAAAAAGGCATCAAACGCCATCAGATACATTAAATTGTGTAGTCAATAGTCAATTAAAATGACGTTGAATCTTATGAAATCTTACGATTGGTTCCATAGAGAACCTTGCAATTCGATTTCATAGTACAGATTTCATAAAATCTAATATCTGATGGTCGATAACATTAGAGCTTAAGTAAAAGTCACAGCATAATTGAATAATAATGCCTCTGGTGTTTAATGTTATTTTACGAGATTTTGTTTGGTTTCATGGGATTCTAACAGGCTTCGAATATAGAAATTCTATAGATTCTCGAATACTTGTGGATTTAAATTTCTCCTGTTTCTTATTAATATAAATGCATAACGGTACCACGCAATGATATTGTATGATATTAGTCATACAAGAGAAGAATGAATACATTTTCCATTGCCAGCGAATTACATCGATATTTCATCGACGTATATATGAAGCTCATGTTCTGTTGATTATATTATTAAATCTTTTCGATATTATGAGAACCTATTGAGATTACAATGTGTTAAACTGAAATCTAATCTAAGACATATCTTATTCAGGAATCAAATCAAGTAAAGAAATGTTTAAAGCATGCAGATGAGTGTTTTGAATATTCATGGACAACTGTATTTTACGAAAAATATAATTGAGATTGAATAGTTAAAAATGTTCATTTAGATGAATCATTTCATCTGATAAGATAATGAGAAAATCATAAAGATTGATATATTTTTGCATTTAAATTATATTCAAGGACACCTTATTCATTCGCCCTTTCTCTTTTATGACTCAAGAGTTTCACACATTGAGTTTCACACATTCCATTTATTATTCTTTTTTCTTCTTCTCTATATGCACTTGGCATATTTAAAAAATTCATATACAATTGTAACAGTTCAAAGCGAACTGAGGAGATAGAGCATTTTTGCTACGAAACATCAAAGTTTTTTCATTAAGTTTCTTTTTCTAATCAATGAGGTATTGATAAAAAAAATGAAATATTATCCTTGTTTCTCAAATATAGCATGTCCGATTGTGTTTGACTCTTTTTGTCCACTGATACTAGGAAATTTGTAGGATGTTTCCTTGTTTTTTACTTAAAAATATGATGTATCGCTTATTATTTTTATTAGAATAGAGCAAGATTAAGAGAAACCAAGAGAAGTAGGCATTCTAAACAGTGTTTAGTGTTTGTGAAAAAACTTCAGTTTTATGACATGTATCACAGTTAATAAATGGCAAGCAGGGCATTTTTATTGCTTGGGTCCTCATTATTTCCTATAAGAATATACTTGGAAGTTTTGACTGTATGACAGCGTTTACTCTACTCTTCGAAATCTATCTTTTCTAAAGTTTTTCAATTGTTTTTAATGATCTGATCTCCTGAAACCCTAGAAATGACGGAGGAGAGGGGGAAGGCAGAATCTTCTCAAATTCACTCGACGTCTAATAAAACCGTACCAGAAGAAAAGAGAATACACTAAACTCATTTAGTTCTCTATCTTAACTAACTTACTATTGAGAATTTTCGCAAGTAATTATTGAATTCAATGGCCTTATAGTTATAATACTATCTCAATTAGTTGAAGTTTTTTAATTTTTCTTATTTGTAAATATAGACGTATAATGTCGCATCAAATCTTTCTCGACAAATGACACTTGATTCAAGAACTGGTGCATGTTCAACATTATCACAGTTATCATCATATACAGATGACAGTCAACTTGATAAACCTCGAAAACCACGATCGTTGATGAGTTCATTTCGAAATTCAATACTGCATCGACGCAAAAAACATCATAAAAAAGATCAACAAAATGAACATCCTGAAATTTCACCATTGAACAGTACAATAGAAACTCGGGTTATTCCACATAGTGTATCAGCAGGTAGGATTAATGTATTTTTCCTACTATTTAATTTCAATAACAATAAAATAAAATTTCTAGAACCATGTCTATCTATAAGCTCAACAGATACAATAAAGTCTAATCGACATCCTTCACTATATCGATCGTTTAGAAATATATTTCGATCAAAATCAAAGAAACAAACATTAGGTAAATATAAATTTTCTTAAAATTTTAATTTGATTATTTTCTTAATTTAGATACTAGTAATGTTATTATGGAACGTCCTGATTCACTTTCTACATTAACATCAACACCAAAAAAACGTCCATTTTTTCGTCGATTTAAATCAGAAAAAAAACAACAGCAAACTAATCAATCAGCTAATTCATTAACCAGTGATGATTGTACAAGGTAAAAATACACAAAATCTTTATTTTTGTTTCTAAAAAAAAAACCAATGATATTTCAGTCTTTGTTCGTGAGTTATTCTTTATAAGAAAAACAAATCATTTTTTGTTTGTATACATAAACGAATTATTTCAGAAACAAAGACTTGTTTAATTATCCTAATAATTTCTATTATTATTCTAGGTCAGAGTCTGCACGAAATACACCTATTCGAGCTAATGTTGGTCGTCCGGTGACAATGACAAAACCACCTGTTCAATAATCATTCATTGTTTGAATATTACTTCACATCGGCTTTTTTTATTAGATGTGATTAGTTTATTTTATTAAAAACTGTATATAACAATTGATTAGGTGGAAATCTAGTTTTTTTTTGTTGAATGCTATTCAAAACTACACATTCAACAGAATTGTGTGCATCATGCGATACTAATTCTTGTGGCTTAAATCAGCTTGTTTTAAAAAAAAGAAGAATATTGAAAAAATATATTGAAAATACGAAAGTATTTTATATGATCTAACATGTCTTGTCGCTTTTGTTCCAAGACTTCGCCTATATGGATATAAAGGATTCAAATATAGCTGCAAAACTGATAACACTAGAGATTGAATGATGTGAAGAAACACTTCTGAGCGTGATGGAAAGCTTAAAAAAAATATTACATTGGTCAATTGAATAGATCGAATAAAAATTAAAGTTATTTGGTAACAAAAATTCTTCATTCTACATTTCTCTAATGAAGACTAATAAATAATTTCGCAATATGCGATTTATCTTTTCAAAAAGAAGTATTAAGCAATGAATCATTAATAATAAAAATAATAAGAGTGGCTTTGTTTATCAAATAAGTTAAGAAAGACGTCATGAAGTTTATCATATAAGAATAATATAAAACATGCGCAAAACTATGATGAGAAAAAGCAAACGAGAATATTTTTTTCTTGAAGACATTTGTTATATTACATTTCGATATTTTGAACTATTATATAACCATTATCAACGAACATAATTAGAAATGGATAAATTCACTTTTAGTTCCAATCCAAGGATGCATAAGCTGATTTCTATCACTGGAAATCAGTTTTTATCTGCTTATCGCGAATCAATAGGAAGTAGGTAGGATTCTCGATAAAAATTATTAAAACTCATAGTCTTATTTTTAATATTATTACTAGATATTTTCTGTGATCTAAAGTGATTTCAAGTGACTTCTGACAGTTTCCGATAACTTTGAAACCTTCCAGTGATTATTCATTTTCTGGACGCTCTCTATAATGATTCCTGGTGATTTCTAGCATAGAGATTAGATTATTCCTATTTTGTTCTAATCTGAAGGACTGCTAAAAATGTTTTCTAATTTGAATTGATCTGTTTGAATAATTTTTATTGTATTTTTGAAAATGGCATTTCGTGATATAGAAAACCTTTTCTTTCTATATCTGGAAGTAATATTCTCAAAATAGATTAACGTTTTTTGGACAATTCTTTTCATTTCATCAACTCATTCGATGTAAACATATGAGCTGCAGTTGCTCGCTCTCTAATCACAATAGCTTTTTCTAATCTATAATAATTGTAAAAGAATACCATACTAAAATTTGAGTTTATTATAATGTTAAATGTGATACGAAATGCGAATTTGAAATTATAATTCTTTTATGCTGTTATTAGGTTATGATGATTGATAATGACTCTATAATGGTTGACAACTTCCAAATATAATATACTAAATATAGGGATTTGTAGCGTTAGTGAAAACACTGGCCTAACATTTATGAGAATCTCAGTAGTCCTATAGTAGCCTTCACTGAAGCACTGGCTGTACTTAACATTGAACTTCCGTGAAATATTAAAGCAACTGCTTTGTTAACCGATTCACTTTTGTGTTTTGACTTCTAATCATTAAGGAAAAATAGTATAAAGAGTGCGTCTATCCTTCTCGAAAAAGTATCTTATATTTAGTCAATCTTTTATTGTGACTAACAAGGTAAACTTCACAGAAATACATCACTTCTACATCTAGTCCTAATATATAAGTGGGTGTGGCTTACCTCTTGATTCACCGCCAACTCACATCTTAATTCCGCTTTTCAATTAAGTATGTGAAGGTTACAGAAAATGGAAAAATGGATCAGAAAAATGGTTAGAAGCGAAAAGAAAGAGTGAAAGGAAAAGGTAAAAGAACAAAGAATAGAAAACAATAAGTAAAGCATGACTTATATTCTATGATGACAGCTAAAGAATAACTCATTCATTCACTAACAGAATGTAACATTGAATAAAATTAGCTTTACAAAGAAAACCTGACTAACTGTTAAGCTAATATGTCCTCATCCAATGAAAGCATCCTGTATTATTGGGATATTCCATACAGTAGACGTCATAATATTCTCACATAAACTCTAATCAATGGGACTCAGTGAACATTGATGTTAAAGTGGATGTAGTCACAATTCTAGTGAGCATTGATGTCAAAGCCAACTAGAGTATACTGAAATTTCACTATCTGCATTTTGACAATTTGTTCGATTTTCGCCGAACTTTTCATAACAATAAGATTGTCGAAATTATAGAGTTTCACTGATATTCTAGCTTCATTCCATTGAACCTCATCGATAAAACAGGAATTTCGATAATCTATTTGTTGTATAGTGAAGATTCCAGTTGAAACTGGATGAAAGTGCCGAAATTTCACATATCAACATCAAATTTTAATGAATTGCACTTTTGGTGATTATTAACTTGAAACTGCATATCTCCAATCGAAAGGCATCGTTTTACTGTAGTTCTTCTCTTTGAATTTGAAATTGTGAGCGCACTCAAGCCTTTAATACTAATCACATTGGCTATTTTCACTCAGTTTATGTGTTTGATTATTCTTTCAAAACGAAATCACAAAACAAGAGCCAATTTAAAGTAACTAAGAAATCGAAAAAAAATTGCAGTATCATTCACGTAATATCCTATGCTGTGACATTTTATAATCGACGTTTTCACAACAGATCATACCAATTAAATAGAAAAAGAATGAGTCATTTGAACAGTGGACTTTCCAAAAACTGCAACCAATCGTCGGTTTCGTTGCAAAATAGACGACATGAGTATATTCTACATTGAATCGATATTCAATCAAATCAATTTCTATTAATAATTGAATCAAACAACTATAAAATTCTCAATCACACTTTATTTATTTAAATAAAATAATTTCGTGAAGATCCTGACTTTCACTGTTCGATCTTTCTACTATCGAAAAACAAACAACAGTAAATGGAAAGTATCGAGTCTAGGTGACATGTTCAAACAAAATTTTAATATCTTTTCTGTCTATAACATATTCAAGATATACAAAAAAAAAACATGAGAAAACCATTTGAAATTCTTGATTTATAAAAAAAAAAGAAGAAGAAAAATGACATTGATTAAACCGTCGTATTCTCAAGTGTGAGCAAAGTAAAAAGAACAGGTAAAAAACGTTGATAATGTTCCCATGGTGTCCCTTGAAATGTTAATTTCGGTTCGGATTTAAAACCACGATAAAGACATAAAAATTCAACAAAACCTAATTTGTCTTCTAAATAGGTTCGAAGAGTATTTATCTTTGCCGTACGTGTATCACGTTGTTTAGCAATAGTTAATAATATATCAGTAACACTTTCATCCCAAACTGAAGTTATAGATGATTTATTAACAAAACCATTTATTGATGATGAAGATAGAACATCATTCGATAATGAATTTGTTGGTGATGATAAAGCTGTACCACTATCATCTTCTATTGTTGTTGTTGTAACCGATAGATTAAGTGGTTGAGTTAAAGATGATGGTAGTCGTTTTGCTACTGATAATGAACTATTGTGTAATTCATTTCGTTTTCCATTATGAATTGTTATCGTTGACAATGATTCATTTACAGTTGGAGATGACGATTGTTTAAGAAGAGTAGCATGTTGTATAGCTTTTTGAAGTATTTGTTCAAGATTTTTACCAGCTGCTGTTGTTTTATACCTATAATAAAATAAAATAAACAAAATTGAAAAAAATTTAAAGGTTTCGATTTGTTTTGTTTTCTTACCAAATCGGATGAACATTTGTTGAACGTGGCATAAGAAAAAATGGTGATTGTGTTGTATTGCATTGTGGTGGTCGATGTGTTGCATAAAGTCGATAAGCTTGTACTGGACATGTCGAAATATGATGTGGTGTTGCATAAAGTCTATAGATAAAATTAGTTTTTTTATAATTTAAGAAGAAAGATGTTTTATTTTTCTTGTTTTCATTTTACCTAACTGTTTGATTTTCAATTTTATGTTGATGACAAATAAGATATTGTTCATCAATTAATGAAATATCACCCCAAAGTAATTGTCCAATTGATACTTGACATAATTTTGTTACATGAACATATATTTCAAGTAATAAACCATCAGGTTTCGTTCGATCAAATACAGTTAAATGTTTTATATTTAATAAATTTAATGATGATTGTTTTAAATGATTTGTTAAACCTAATTTTTTCCATTCTTCACGTTTATTTACAATAATTTGTCGACATGATTGAAATAATGGTGATTCCATAAGATTATATTGATAATTTTTACTTTTTAAATAACGTTCAATACTTAATAAAAAACTTCTTAATGTATCTGGTTCATATTGTGTACCATCGAATTTTTTTGTATTTTCAAAATAATGTTTTAAATATCGACATAATGTTTCAGCTGATATTGTATGTAAAGGCATTTGTTCACCGAATTGTTCATCTATATACATAACAAAACGTTTAACATCATGTTTTGTTTTACGTATTGTATTATGAGAATTTGTATCAGATGAAATAAGAAAGACATTAGGATCAGGTTCGTTTATATTTGATGATGTATTTTGTTCATTATCACCAGTTATTCGACGATTAGTTGCAGATCGAATAGGTCGACGATTGGAAGTTATTAATGTTGTTTGTTCAGTTAATAAATGAGAGTCTTCATCAATATTAGATGATTTAATTATATCATCTAATGAATGATTTTCATTGATATCATCACTGATATGATTATTCACATGTATATCATCATCGAGTTCCATTGATTTTTCTTTTTCTTTTTTAAATTGAATTATTCTACTGCTCTTTTTACTGTTTATTATACCTCCAAACTCTTGTTGCTTTTTCTGCTGCTATTGCTGATCTGAAGGTAATGTTTGAATAGTGGTCGTCGGTGACTGAGATGCCATCAACATCTCTTGTGTCGATTTATATTTCTATAAGAAAAGAAGAAAAAAAAAGAAGAAGACGAAGAGAAAAAAACTCTCAAAGAATGAAATAAGAGTGAAAGAAGGAAGAAAAAGAAACGTTTGTTTTACTCTTGCTCAGTCGAATACTTCATGTATACATAAGATTGAAAAACTCATTCGAGTTTTGTTTATTTACCATATGCATGACAAAAAAAAAAAGAATTTTTTTGTCTCAGTTGATGAAATTTCCATATATGACAATCGTACACATTGAAAAATATGTTATTCTTTCTAGTTAATGGGAAAAGCCATACAAAAAAGACCAGACTGATTGTTACCTTGGTTGGAGATAATTGACATGAGCTTTTTCATTGAAAACATTATTCTTTTTTTGTCAAATATCGATATAAGATTTTGTTTATGAAATAAATCAAGAAGTGAATCGATTTTTTTTCCTTTTTGTTGTTGATTCATCTAATATACAAGTGATCATTTACCGTTTGTCTTATGTTGAATGACTTGTCTTGTAATATAATGTCGGAACATTAAAAATTTACTCTCTTTGTTATTAGCTATCATGTACACCAGACCTATTTCATTCGTATTAGAAAAAAAAAGAAGAAGACATCGTCGAACCATTGCGCAATGTTGATTTCATGCTCAAAATCTGTGCTGAATCATTAAATCCTATCGATTAATATTTCTAATAGATCACGGATAATTTCCGGATAAAGAAATCAAAAGGTATTCATTGTATCGAACTTCTACTTGTCGATTCATGTTTTTCACAAAGATAATAATATTTTCAAGATAATGAGTCTTTAAAATTATTGATATTAAGTTTTCAAGAATGACTTTGTATGCCTAATACTATATTTCTAAGATCCATAAAAAAAGAAAAAACGCTTTTGTTAGTTATTTCGTTATGCACGAATAAGAAAAGCGGATTAATTATTTACTTCAATAAATCTAATGCAGTGATGAATTGTATTATAGCGTAAAAAAAAATTCTTTCTTAATATTCTTGTCTGTCTGTTAATTATAGTCGGTACTGACTTTTGATACTCATCTGTTAATATGTGATTTGTTTTTTGAACTATCGACAACACAAAATACAATGGATTGAAGTTCTTGTTTATTTTATATAAATCTTGACTGTATGCTAAATCTTTGTAAGTATTACTAGATGATAGTCAAAAACAATTTTTATTTATTAAGTTGTACTTATTTTTAACACAAGATAAGTTTTTATTAATTTTATCAAGACAACAATATGCTTATCGTATGAAGAGATATATCCAATCGTCAGATGTCATTTGAATTCATACTATGACTGCGAGAAGATCTCAATGAGACTACAAACAATCTCAAAGAGACTCGAATCCATGATCAAACTAGTGGTAGCTTATAAGCTTTTTAATGAAATTTTGGTTAAAAACATTGCATTTTCAAAAAACCTAAAATCAAGGGTTTTGACTTGAAATTCCGAAAAAAAACCAACGATTTACTAGAGAAGAGTACAATGATTGAGTCTACTTGAACATTGAATAATTCAGGAAAGCCATGCTCATTTTCGTTGAAGCTTTCAAGGATATCAAATTTACATGTAAACAATATTACAGCTGAAAACTCTTAACTTTGAGTTTTTTCCGGCAATGCTTTGCTCTAAGTCAAAATTATATTAAAACAACCATCCCATGTCACACATTTGTTCGTACTACTGATAGTATACTATACATGTTACCGATCCATATACCGGTAACAGTTTCTCGGTAATTATCACATGGGTAATCTAGTACAAAATGTGAATATTCATCTGTTCTACTTTTCCATTTATTATCATATGAATGAAAATGACTTAAATCATCCAAATCTATCCATACGATTCGAACAGAACAAAAAATTGCCGACAAACTGTCAATAGATGGTTTGATATAATGCATTCTATACCGCGGGTAGTTTATTACTTGAGCGATTCGCTATTCTCTACACTACCATTCTATCGCAGTAAACCGATAGTTATTCTATAATCGATAATCCAGTGCTGGTATACCAGCGATAGAATGAACACATAATTCAATACTTTTAATAATAAAATGTTATAGCTTGATTTTATCTTTGCCAACCGATTGAATAAGAAGCAAATGTTTTATAAATTGTACGAAAATAGTAAACTATGGTGAGATAAATAACATACAATACATTATATAACCTAAAATAAGTTCATGTAAGAATAAGTTCAATTGTTATAACAATCAGTGTTTCTGACCGGACATGTTTTTGGCATAGAATTATGAGAATGTTTAGTTATATTAAATGTAACGTAGTTAAACATTGGTAGGTACATACTGGATGAATACGAGAGCAAGCTTTTTTGTTAGTCTCGGCTATAGTAAAACATATTTTCAATAGTTCCAGACCTCATTTGCATACTCTCTAAGAAACTCGTTCAATACTCTGTTTTTTTCTATTTATTTAGTTTATGAATAGCATTTCTTTGCCATCTCTCTTGACTTATGTTTTGATTGGTATTATTTATAAAATAATTCATTTATAACTACAGAACATTTGACTACAGTATTTTGTTCCAGTTCAGGCAACATTCTTTTCTCGCAATCTTGGTTCCGAAATCACAGTTATTCTCCTATAGCTCTAATGTACATTGATGGTCTACTGTTCCCTAAACTGAAAGGATAAGATCTAAAAACAAGAATTTACCCGTGTCTATCTGCCTAAAACAGAGTTACTATATAGTAGCTATGGTCTAAATGAATGCGTAGGAGAACAAAGAAGGGATCTGCGCATCAAGATTCTAATTAACCGAAATTTAGTATTCTAGGACGAAGAATACGAAATCTGTGTAGACTTCGTATATCATCGCATACAGTATTAATAGGAAACCACCTAGTGCGCCAATCTACGACTATTGACGGTTATTTATGAGCATGCTTGTTCTACCTGGTATCCCTCTAGAAGTGACGATCTTTATTACTGAGTTATTGAATAGTTCGATTGATTGTTCAATGCAGTATACATAAAAATGGGTTGTAATAATAATAATAAAACTTTTCTTATATAAAAAAAATATTTCTTATTCAGATAAGAAATAAAAATATATAATAGATATTGATAACAATGTTTTAATTCTTTGGCAAATCATACATACCATTTCCTATGATAAACATCTACAAAGTAATAGGAAAAAGAAGAATTGAACCACTCATTAATATATTTGTTCTGCTCAAATTATTCCATGGTAAACATTGAATATTAGAATATAAGTAAGATTGAGAACTCTTTAACAAAAATGAATTAGAATTGAATAATCCTAAGAATGACTTTATTGATTTTGTTTTTTTATGGAAATTAGTAAGAAAATAGTCAGACATTTCTTTTGTTTGTTCTTTTAATAAACATTTATTGACAAAATAACAAGATCGATTCCAGTATCATATCATTGGAGGTTTTTAGCCAATATATTGGTCGGTGTCAGCTCTTGAAAGTGCTTCAGTTTTGTGTTTTGTCTTTGGCGATGATGATTAGAAATCATTTAACACTCATGAGACGATCATTGAGATTTTCCAATGAATTTTTAAAAATTTTCTTAATTTGGAGAAATTTTGAAATGGGAAAGTGAGAAGACAGTAGTAGGAAACTTATTGGCAAGTAATCCGGCAAGAATATCTTAAAAATTGATCACGGACATTTGAAATTTGCAAATATCAATTTTTGTATCACGGCGCGACTGAATCGATCAGCATACACCTCTAGATATGATAGTGTTTTAAGACAGCAAGAGAAAAATGAACCAAAAATATAAAATAATGAATAATTTCTTTGACAAAAATAAAATTAATACAAATCTTATTATTGAAACACATCAATGTTTACGTAAAAACTATCATCAATCGTTCATACTACTTTTTCAGTACGAATATCCAGCTTCTAAATCCTTTTACTTTTATCTAATATTCATATGTATATTTTGGACGAGTATCTCTAAAACTTTTGACGCATACATAACAATTGTTTCGTTCACTAAGAATGTGTAAATGAATGAATGAAAGACATTTTCATCAACTATAACAATGCTGCATAAAAAAAAACGACTGTCATTTTATTAGAACAATGCCAAAAAATTATCAACTCTGTTATTTTCTTCTTTGCCAGTAGAATATCTAATAGCCATTCTATTGTACTTCCAGATCGACCCTTATGCTAAAGATTTCATGGAAACAGACGAATAAAAGATAGAACTTGTACTTTTTTTTCATCATTGAATAAATATGTTCAGCAGATAAGATAAAACAAGGATATAAAATTTCTGTTCATATTTTGATGCTTTTCATAGTAGCAGAGCAACAAAAATAATTCTCTATGGTTACATGAATGACAAAATAATTGGCAAGGGATATCGCTTAACCCTTGATTTATTTATCTGTTTCGATCTTATCCAAAACACTTTTCTTTCTTTGTGCTTGTGGATAGCGAAATCAAGAAGAATAAATGCAATGTACGCATAGATCATAACTGATTTTAGACAAAGAGACGACAAGAGAAAAATAAAAATAGTTATCAAAAATTCCTTATGGTTTAAGTAATACTCATAGTGTACAAGCAAGGTCATCGAGTTGAGCTTAGTTAACAAGAAATTTAATTAAAGTCAAAGCACGGTTTCGAACAGCTTTTATCGTAATTTATAGTGGTAATTCAATTTTTATTACGTGTGTAAGGTGAATAGATGGGAGTTTGTTCGTGAAGAGAAACTGTTCACCAACATCCAAATTTCAAACTCGTGCTTTTTGAATGTCATTTTCTGTACTTTTTTTTGTGCATAAACTCTTTGCATCTCA